ATGGTTGGCTGGCAAAAGAGTGGGAAATTGCAGGAGTGACCAAATATTCAAAGGAGCTTTATCTGACTGCAAGATCTATTCGAATCCTCTCTATTGAAGGGACAAGGGAAATTGTAGTCACCATGCACCTGAATAAAAGTAAAAACTCTAGAGGTGTTGTGTGGTGTGCTTCGCTTCCAAAGGGAACAAAGTCGCTTGCTGATGCAAGAGTGGATGTGAGATCGGTAGGCTGGTTCGTGGACAGCGTTCGAAAAAGAGTCTCTTTGAATGATTTAACTACTAAGACTGCAATGGCTATTCAGAAATAAAAAAAGCTCAAAGTCCCCAGTGTCATCATTAACCAAGAGAAGAAGGGAGGCGGATTTGTTAACAATTTCAGAAGATCAACTGTCAGTCTGTCATCGTTATGGCAACAGTATAAAGCGATGCTATCTCAAAAGTTGGTGTGTGTGTTGTGGTTACAATCGTACCTTGCAGGGGTCTCGACAGTTAATTTGGTCTCTAAGGGTATGCAGATCTCTACCACTTGCATCATATGCAAATGACCCTGGGAAACTAATCGACACCTGTGATTAACGTGTCCAGCTTCTAAAAGGATCTGGGATTGGTGGGTTAGGCATTAGATGGAGATCACAAATGACGGTTTTTAGTGGACCGACGAATGGATTATCTCTGGGATACATAGAAAGACAGTTAAATTAGAGAATGACTGACTATATGTTGCCCAGACAATAAGAGCAGTCCTAATGAATGTGATATGGGATGACTGAAATAACCAGGTATTCAAATCTTCCTATAGGTCGGACCCTCAGATCAAAAGTATTGTTGCTCAGCAGATTAGACTTATGATAAGAAGTGATTGCATCAGACATAAGGTCTCGGAGTTTGTAAATGCTAGAGAATGGTTTTGGAATACTTAGGGGAGAGACTCCGGGCTTGTTAAGATAGACTCAGTTGGAAGATTATTTTTTTGTCAATGGTTACTGTCTCCGGTGGGTCATGGGAAGCGCTTTAGCTCCCCTCCATAAAGTCTATTGACTTACCGTGAGGGCACGGGTGCGCAACCTGAATTTTGTATATGCTTGATTAATAAACAGAGAGAGAGAGAGAGAGAGAGAGAGAGAGAGAGAGAGAGAGAGAGAGAGAGAGCAAGTCCGAAGTGTTGTTTCAACCATTGCCTAAGCCTGAGCACTTTCGTCGGACGAAAGTGTCGTTTCAACCACTGCCCAAACCTGCACACTTTCGTCACCGAATCGTCGGTGTGTGTGTGTGTGTGTGTGTGTGTGTGATCGGGTTGGTGTCGGGATAGATTGGGGAGAGGCGTCGGGATTGGAGAGAGCGGAGGGGAGGAAA